AAATGATCCTGTATTTCTTCTGGTAGAACTTTTATCTGTTTGTGTGAAATAAAATTTGTAGAAAAATAAATAAATAAATTTCCATTTCATTTTATGAAAGAAATCTGCATGCAATGCAGGGAAAAATTATATACCTTAACAAATGTTGAATTTAATATAGTTTATGTGTGGGAACTTGAGCAACTGAAGGAAAATTATAAAATTACAGCATTCAGTAAAACAGTGAACTGGGAAATAAATGAGCAAAGCATTCCAGTCACATTTCACTAGCAGGCAATTATGTGGAAAACTGGAAAGGATCTTGGTTGACATTCTCAGCTAATGAAATGAAGTTAGGCATCCATTTCACATCTCAGGGCAGACACTCTGCTTTGTTTCATTCCATTTCATCATTGCAAGGCATTCAAAAATTCAAGACAATGCAAGTCAAGTGTGTATGTGTATTTGAGGCATTTCAACATCAGTAAAATATCCATTTGTGAGGCAATATTAAAGTGGTAATGGCTGCTTAAATTGACTGGTGTACTGGTGATAACATCCATTTCACTTCCTAACTATATAAGTAAAAAATAAAGGCTACTTTTCAGTGTTCATAAAACAACACACAATTCTGTTGTTACTGTTAGCGTATTATGGATTTTTGCTTGAAAAGTACCTTTCCTGAAACAAAATTTCAGTCTCTTGTAATCATCAAAAGAGAAAAGGAATGCTCTGAGCTGAAATTCACATGTTTTTAAAGCACATTCTTTGTAATAGTTGTTGTGACCTTGATGTTCTTGTAGCCAGACAATTAAGATTTGTTTCTTCTTCTTAACTCCAAATGTATACTGCTACTGATTTAAATATTGTGTAAGACACCTCCCTGAAAGAGGCTTTCTTTTACATTAATATATTTTGAATGAGTATTACATGTGCACTGATCCACAATAGTTTTAATTATATTTTCAAAAAAACTTTTCAAAACCAACTGTTATATAAAATCATAAGTGCCTATTTTCTTCAACAACAGAAACAAAAATAAATTCATGCCAGTAGTATGTTGTTATGTTAGAACCATAAATGTATTGCAGAAAGCTGTTTATGGTTACCTGTTGGATTATGAAATTATTTTGCTCTGTATCAAGTTAAATATTTTCCACAGAGAAAAATGTTTCAAATAAACTTTGTAAACTTGAATGAGATCTACATTTCATGTTTTGTACATCTTTCTGAGAAAATAGATAAAAGTTTAATATGAGCTTCATGTAACATATTCCATATTTATATGAACCAAAATTAAATTCACTTGACAATCTTTAGTACTGACTCCAACACCAAATTTAACTGAAATCAATTACATAGTTTCAGAGATGACACATTTCATTGGACACACAAATTCCCTTTAAGGTCATATTTTATGCACTCTGTGAAAAGAGCACATAAAATTAAATCTACATATCATTTACATACTTCATGTGTACTGTCAAAAAGAAGGAGAGCAATTGTAATTTTATTTTAATTTTGATTAATTTTATTGTAACTTGGGCTTTGACGTGTTCTATATCTGGAGGCACCATCGCCAAATGTAGATCTGATGAACAAAAAAAAATAAATAAATAAACAAATAAGTAAATAAATTGAAATTGAAACTGAAATTTTAGTGTGCCTCATATTTTATACCAACTGTGAGAAGCTGTTGGAATCTTTGATGACAATCATGATATTTCATGTAGAGATTGTGATACAGATTAATTCTTGCTTGACCATTATAAGACCAAGTGCACATGTAAGTAACTGATTTCCTCAAACAGTGGCATATTCATAAATCATTATTAGAGGAAGAAGCTAAAGAAATACGTGAATGAATGCAATAAAATGTATTGAGCAAATATACGATAAATTTAAAATGTTGGGTGTGAGGAGAAAATGAATTTCAGAATTTAATTTTTGTGCTGTTTTGCTTGGAATGAAGTAACTAAGTCCTGACATATTCCATGCTGCATGCATCAAATATTTAGCAGTCAGAAGTATTGATATTAGCCTTCAGTTAGTGTTACTGTTATTGAAGGTGAGAATTTAGCAAGCAGATGTTCAAATTGACAGTGCTGTATCATGAATTTTTTCATAGCTTAGGAAGTGTCAAATGTTAGAATTCCAAGATGGTTATCTGCAGTGTGGAAGGGAATGCTCCCTCAAGATCCATTTATGAGATGATAGGTGTTCATTCCTGATGGCAGCAGAACTGGTCCACTGTACATTGCTACTACTGATGAAGGTATTTGCTCTGTCAAAACTTGTACCCTAGTCAGCTGGACTATGATTACATTTGAAACTGCTAACCATACTGGAATATTATAATGGACAAGAATCCACAAACAGCTGGGGCTAACAAAATTGTCTGCCAAATGGGTAACAAAACATATGAACACAGACTAGAAGAACTGCCAGGAAGTTGAGGATGAAGCAGATATTTGGTATCAGGAAAAGGTAAGTAGCTCTGATTAAACTATAAAGACTTGAGATGAAACCTATGTACACCATTATACGTATGGAAACAAAACCATTACAACAATGGAGCCACACAAATTCATCTAGATTAGAAAGTTAAGATTTTACATGCAAAGTCACAACAGCTGCTTTGTGGGGCAGTATTAGGATCATCCACATTGAGTTTCTATCACATGATGAAAAAAAAAGTGACTGGTAAATTTTACTCAACTCAATTATAGGAAAGTGTGCAAGGATTTGTTCACAAGAAGGTCACATTTTGGCAAGACAATACACAGCCACATACAGCTGAAATCAACTGAAGTTCTTAAGAACAGCACACTCCCAATTCAGATTTAGGTCCCAGTGACTCCTGTTTATTTGGGTTGCTGACAGAGTTGACAAGAAGCCAGATGTTTTAACACAATGAACAAGTGTAGCAGAATGTTTATAATTTCTTTTTGAAGCTTCAGAAACGAATAAACAGCTGTGTTCATGAATTCTATACAATGATGGAACTGCAAAGAACTCAAGATACTCAAAATTTGTAGTCTAAGAAGAAATGTACAATCCTTAAAAATGTAGCAAAGAGAGATAATTTACTTGAGAGAAAGTCTGATGATTCACACAGCAATTACATTTAATGATGATTATAGATATAATGCCATCTAGTCAACTGAAAGCAACTGATGCTACAAAGGAACAAGGTCTGTCCACCTTTAACGTTAAAAAATGAGCAAGAAACAAGCATTCAGCAGGTAGCAAAGCAAGATGACTATTTGCTTGCTACCTCCTTCCTGCTGGACGATTGTTTGGCTTATTTTTTGACACTGAACATGTACGTCATATTCCTCCAAAACACTGGTTGACTTTCAACTATCTACATATCTACCTATCTATATACCAGAAGGCAGAACTCTTCATAACCACTGCTGTGAGAACCTCATATTCTACATGATTACAGAAGTATCCTCAATTCTAATTCAAATAATGATAATGACTAGTCTCATCAGGTGTGGCTGAATTCAGTCAAAAATTAGAACTGCACTCTCAAGAATTCATAAAAACACTCTAGATATATTTAAAATGTTGAAATGTTGACATTGAATATTAACTGTAAATGGCATTCACTGACACGAGACACAGTGAACAATAGATTACTTACTTCTGAAGAATCTACATTAAAATTTTTGGAATTATTCGGGAGTAACGAAAAGCAACAAGGAGCAAGATGAGATCTGTATCAGAATATATGTCTTAAGAAAAAGAGATATGTTACAGTGGATCACTTTCTAATAAGCATCTAATCTAGACATTTCAGCCATAACTGATCCATGCAATAACACATCAGTATTCTCCTGTTATACAGAAACCACACCTCAGCAGTAATATTTGATAATGAATGACATGATCAGTCTCTCCGAAAGAATATATTTGATTGACAAAGGTGGAGAGTTTACCCTTGACAGTGGGCAAATTCAGAATGGTAGTCCTTGGAAAGAAATACTGTAAGCTAAGACAGATAAAAGAGAACACTGAAGGAAATGAATAATGTGCAGCTTTGTAATTTGTATTACTTATATTATATTATTATGACTACCAAATCAAAGTGGATGAGAGGGGGAAGGCTTTTAGAACTCATGGCATGAAAAACATGTATAAAATTTTGTTCAGAAAAACTGAAGGGAAAAGATCCCTTATAAGATCTTAGGAAAGGCAGAGGATAATAATAAAATGGATCTTAGACATAGAGTGAGAGTCTGTGGACTGGCTAGGACCAGTGACAGACTATTGTGACATGGTAACGAACCTTTTGGTTCCATAAAAGGCTGGAAGATCTTGTCTAACTGAGAGACTATTCAGCTCTCAAGAAGGATTCTGATTCTATGGAGTTAGTTAATACTAACAGAAAGAATAATAAAAGATTTCCATTGAACCAAAGATTTTTTAACAAAATTCCACCATCTCAATGAGATATCATTTAAGTAATTTGAAATTCTGTTGGAAAAGATGTTATACTAACCAACAACCACTAGGAAGGTACAAAGATAGAAGTTAATCACAATACCAGAGATTACCAAATTGTAACAATTTTCAGGGATATGACGGGCGGATATAAGTGACAAGAAGACGAGGAAGAAGACGTAAGAAGATGCTGGATGACCTTGGGGACAGAAGAGGATACTGTCATTTGAAGGAGAAAGCTCTAGATCGTATTAAGTGGAGGAATTGTTTTGGAAGAGACTGTGGACCTGTCGTCTGACAGATTACTGATGGTGATGATGAGGATCAGAATGGTCAAACATTTTTGAAGAAGGAATTAGAAATTAGGACAACCAGTCCAGTGGTCAAGACATGAGGGTTTATGTTTCTCAATTATAACAGGAGGCAAATTCAAGAAGTCTGTGTCATAAAATGTTATTTATAAGACGAAGCAGTCCCTTTAAATCCTTGGAACAAATGTTTATGATATATGGTTATGTTTTAAGATTTTGCCATATAAATTATTTTCAGCATTCAAAGTATGTGAGATATTAGGATGAACACTAGTAAGTGTGAGTGTACACTTATGTTTGTGTTGAACGATCAGTCAAATGCAAAGCCATGCAGAAATACAGGAGAAATGGGGAATAAAAATGTCAAGTTCATTTGTACTGAAGTACTTACCTGAAGGCTAGTGTTGTGATCGGCCCTATAGTCTAACTGTGTCTGTGTAGGTAGATGATCTAGCAACAAAGAGAGAGACACACAGACAGACTGACAGAGAGAGACAGAGAGAAAGAGACAGATAGAGACATTTAGAGGAGAAAGAGAGACAGAGCGGAGAATACATCCACCAGCTCATCAGCTCAGCCCAACATAATTCAGTCATGTAACCTAACTACCATGTTCTAATATGAGGGTTCAATATACAGCTTCTCCATATAATTTTGCATATGTAAGTTGACATTATGTGCATGGCCTGCATATGAGATGCATATATGATGTCTCATATTGTCCAACCTTAAGAAATCTTCAGGACAATAATTACTTAAAGTACACCATACCACAGACAAAGGAACAGTTTTCAGAAGTCATAATACAAATGATAAGTCTGAACCAAATGCATGGAGCAGAACAACAAAGGAAAAGTATATGTACTCCACCTTTCTTTGATGTGTAACAAAAGCAGGTGGATGTGGGTGAACAGGAAAATTTCTGATGACCCTATACATAGCTGTGGATCATTCTTATAGGGATGAACGATAATTTGCACCTTAGTTCAGACCTGACAACAATATAAGTTGCACTGATCCTTTTGTTTGCCTGTGAACTGTCACATACTGAGCACAACTTACAGATTACTGTCACAGATTTGGGTAACATTACATTCACCAATGATTGGAATGAAACTCAGCGTTTTAACAATAAATAAAATCTCAGATTCAATATCATAATTACTACCAATACATAAAAAGGGCAGAAGCCTGGACAGATAAGTCAAGTTTAATGACAGTTTACAGGCTGTATGACTGGGATGTTGTGATTCGTTTCTCTGCAGAGGCAGAGATTAATCTCTTCTCCACAACATCCAGACTGGCACTGGAACTTGCCCAGCCTCCTCTCCAATGGATACTTGGGGCTTTTAGATAGGATCAGACAGCCAGGGCATGAACCTGACTACTCAGTTCCATCTAATGCCAAGCTAGAGCTACACTCCACTCCCTCATACATCGTCATGGCATGGTGCTTAATTAAGTCATGGACAATTTTAACTTTACCTAACAGAAGAGATAGAGAATTCTATTTATCTAGGCTCTTATGTATCATATCATTATAATCAATAGGAAAATAAAATATTATACTACTACAGTCAATAATTTCATGGGCTGTGGTTTCGTCACACCATACTAAAAGATGCTCATATACACTTACACATATCCACACCCTCCTTCAAAATAGTCACCATTGGCCACTATGCAAGTCAGTCAATGTTGGTATAGTTGCTGGAAATAGTGCTGAAAGATATTTGCAGGAAGGTTCCATATGGCTTCCCTGGTGGCAGTGACAATTTCCTTGGCTGACTGAAATCGACACCCACATAGCTTTTCTTTCAAATGGGGAATGATAAAGAAACTGCATGGTGCAAGATTAGGTAGGTATGGAGGGTGTGAAATGACAAAACGGTGACCTGTTGTTTTGCCAGCTCCTCTCGGACAAGCACAGAGTAGTGTGCAGGGGCATTGTTGTATAGCAACAGCCAGTTCTTCCTGTGCCAAAGCTCAGTAAACTTATTATGAACTGAAATGTATAGATGGCAAAGGATCTCCTTGTAGCAGTGCTTGTTTACAGTCTCTCCTTCTGGGATAAGTCCATGTGAACAATTTCAGATTATTCAAAAAACAGTTCAAGCATTATCTTGCATTTTTACCCGTCCTGTCACGGTTTCTTCTTCTTTGGCAAATGGCGTTTTCCAGATGGCCAATTGTCGCTTCAGTTGTGGATTGTACAGAAAACACCATATTTCATCTCCTGCTATGATCCTGTTGAGAAGTCCCATCATGTCAGCACTATTGATCAGGTCATCACACATGTTCATGTGATCATCACATTGGTTTTGTGTTAGGACATGTGGAACACTGTGCTGGGTAAAACGAGACATATTCAGGTCATCAGACAGAATTTTGTGGGAAGCACCATGGCTAATCCCTGCAGCTGCCATTTCATCTGCCGTTTGGAAGCAGTTGGCAAACAGAAACGCTACAGCTTCTTGGTTCTTGAGTTCAGTTATGACTCTTCTTGGCCAACCGGTATGCTCGTCATCTCCTCTTCCTTTCTCCCTCTCCTTTACATTAAAATGCTTTAAGTAATTGCCATTCAAAACATGCCTTCATTTGCTGCTCACTTCAATTCATCATATTATTTAATGGATCAAAAATAGTAAATATTATGATAGACCACTCCTCTATTTTATTTCCATGTAAGGATCATGAGAAAGACATGAAAAAACTAATAAATAGTGCCTTTTTCAGACTAATTAATAATTTAGTTTAAATAGCAGCAAATGACTAGATGATGGACGATAGAATGGAAAGAAAACAGATGGTGATCCCAACATTTTCATTGTTGTGGTACAACTGAAAGAATCAACAACAAAGCTGCCAGTCTGAGCTCAGATCTGAACCCAGGACCTCTGGATTGCAAAGTCAAAATGCTAGCCACTATACAATGGCAGTCAAATGACTTGAAGTATCTGGACTTATTCTTTCACATACTTCTCTTTTATTCTATAGATTAGAGTGTTTTTTCAATTATGAATCTATAAAAGCCATTATAGTTAACTACTGGTAAAATCTGAACCTATAGGTCTACCGGTATTTAAATTTATTCAACCTCATTTTTATGTCATCTCCTGGCCTATTTAATACTTTTTTTACATTACACTGAAGTATGAATTAGTTATTTCAATCACAGTGTTCAACAACATCCAACACTTTTTACAAATATTCACACTTAACACTTAAAAAATTTAATATTGTCATTTGCTTTTTCGCGGCATTTTCCTTTTTACGGATATCCGTATGAAGCCTACATAATATTAGCTTGTCACTTAATAAACTCTTCTCTTCACTCTCAAGATAGTCTAGTATGGATTCCAAATGATTAAGAGCAGCACCATGTGATACTTTCTTACTAGCAGCACTGTCCACCTCTTCCTCATTCTCACTTCCTTCCTGCTCTTCTGACTGCACCCCCACTTAACTTATGATTTCGTCACTGCTTAACATTTTGAAGCCCAGCTCACACGAGTTACTGTTGAATACTTAACACAACATGCTTCCTTTTACACCCTGACATTTTGCTAACACACTTGAAGATCGATACAAACAGACTAATTGGGGCGGTGTATCTGTCCTTGAAACTTTCCACAAATCCTTGCATTCTTTCACCCCTACCCTAGAACATTGTGTTAGTATAACGGGACCAAAAATGCTGAGCTCAGTTCACACTATGGCGAAAATAGTGTTACAATTCACCATGTGAAACAAAAGTGAATGAATATTAAACAACATATAAGCCTCAAAAACGCCCCAGTTAAGCCGCAAACTGGTTAATCCACCCCCAGACAATTGAGAGTTGAGTGTATTTTGCAGCCCAGAATTTTCAGGTTTTCAGTTTCATTTCAAATCAATGACAAAATGGGCACATCATATGTGACAATATCACTTTTGGTTTAGGTCAGGTTAGATCTGATTATGTTATTACAGTTTATCCAGACTATAATGGATGATATAACAAGGAAATCAGCCATAAAAAAAAGGGAAGAGTAGCCATTTGTAATAGTAAATAAACACAAAATAGGATCAGTGCGAACACAATGTGAACTCTGAAGTCACCCATGAAATCCATGCTTAATTAGAAAGGGACTCCTGCCTTATTTCTTTTTTGACAAGTGTTAGTAGAAAGTGGCATATCTGGGTCTCTTTCTTATTAATATCAAAATTCCTTCCAGCAGATGCTATATTTTGACTACACTGTATTTTACTAAGTGTGTCTATTTTGTGTTCTAGTTATTAATTTTTATGCTTAAGTAGGCCTGTCCCTCTGTGACAAAAATATAAATGTAATTATGAATATGTAGTGTACTTTCAAATTATTATACATAATCTGATCCAGAAAACATCCACAACAAACACTTTTACACTCCAGTATGATGAAAAAGCTGTATTTTGTTGTTGCTATGGGCAGTGTTCATAACCCTCATCTGAGAACAGAAATTATTAGAACATGGCAGTAAGTCAGTCAGGCATGCAACATGGAAGGATATTACATACACCTTTATTCAAACTGGAATAATAGTTTGGTTTCATGGTATGAGATAATTTGTAAATAAATATACAAACACATGGCCTCATTCTAGCACTGATGGTATGTGCAATTTCCATGAATGCAACAGAAGTTAAATAACAGACTGTTGTATCAAATATACTGATACACATCTAAATTCCAACAGAAACTCAATTTTAGAAAATAGGTAAGCTTTGGTGTTAAAAGCCTAATTTCAAAATTAATATGATGAGAAGGCCTTGGTAAGACTTTCAGTCATGGATAAACAGCTGTAATACTGACATTAGTAAGGCAGATTTCAGTAAGCCTGAACTGAAAGTTGGATTAATACCTATAGGTATCTGATACCACTGGCCATGATGTGTCTGTGGTTGATTAGCTGTCATCGGCTGCAACTTCTACACAGACTGTCCAGTACAATCCTTCTGTGGCTGACTGTGATATATATTACCCAGTAATTTGTCAGTACTGTAGTTGTTACTGAATTTTAAGATGGATAAACGTACTACTTGATGTCTTTCAAACATGCCTTTACCTTGAGCCATTTACATTAATAAACAAATAAGGTTTATTAAATAATGCTGTCAGTAGCTCAGATTATACAGCAAAGAGTAGTAGGACTTTTTGTGAATAATTAATAGGAAAGAATGTGGAAAGAAACAGATGTGGCCAGATTTGAGATACTGGCCTATTATTGAAACTGAGCATTATGTTGTGTTCTTACCACTATCCTTCTATCTATATTTATAAATTTGATGCCTTATACACTAACTTGTATATAATTATTACATATTACATACAGTACCTAAATATTGCCAGCTCCATGTTTTGACCATAAAGGTCATCAAGTCACAACATGTGTACATTTAAGGGGAAACATGCAGCTATAAATATTAAT